CCACCTGTTGGGCCCCCGGATGACTCTTGTTTACACTGAAGGTGTTCCCTGCAACGACAGGGGCTAAGCTGGGGTGGGGTCCGCCCCCCTGGTGCAGATGCTGATGCTACTCCCCCCGGACTTGGGCCACAGCACCACTGCACCTCACGTGTTGGATTTTTATTGTTGTTTCACTCTGGGCCTGTGCGGGGGAGGAAGTTCGAACATGGGACGCTAAAAATCCAGATTATACAATGTAGATTGTGTGTGCAGATGCCCCATTGATGTAACTGTCCGGGTACATTTATGCAGCTTGGGGCCCGCAGGGCATGTCGCCCGAATGTCCTCCCCGTGGGTGGTCTCCCCCCTCTTAGTGTTTTTGTCCCTTGTTTCGTTTTTCTTATTGCCCGGTGCCCCGAGACCTTCCCCCTAAACAAGAAGATAAGTTTTAATTTACGGGGAAAAAAAAGAAAAAAAGAAAAAAGCAAAAGGAAAAATTTCAAAAAAAAAAAAAAAAAATTGATTAGGAAGGGGGGGGTTAGTGGATAATGAAGGGTAGGACACAGTATGCGTAATTCACAGGTGCTCGGTAATAATGGGAAATGTGTGCGGAACCTGGTAATGCATTGTTTAGATTCATGTTATGGTGGTGATAGTCGTAGATGCATAGGATGGAATGATAGAGCCATACGATTTAAATGTGGATACCGCTATCTTAGGGACCCCCTTTTTAAAGATGAAGGGTCACAAACAATATGCGTATGGAGTGGAGGTCCTTGTGGGATAGGGGGTGCATGGGGAGATGTGGGGGTGTGGTTGGAAAGTGAATAGAAATCCCCCCCCCCCCCGCAACACAAAAGGGTTATTTGGATAATGAAGGGTAGGGCATAATGTGAGTCGACCACTGATGTTAGGAAATAACAAGTGAAGCCTTATTTAGATTTACCACTGAAATGGAGCTGGTATAATTAATCACAAAAGAGTGCGCTTGACCTGTGCACCAGTATGCGCAGCCATTCTCCTCCCTCGGGCTGTTTGGTTGTTTGCCCCAACTTATGGCTTATGACGGTGGGCCTGGCCCCTGGCGTTCGCGGACCCGCCTGGCGTTCTGGGGTGGGCGGGGTGGGCCGCGTTCGCCTGGGGACGGCTACTTTAGCTGGGGTACCATGGGGGCTGCTGCCTCCTGTGCGGCTGCTTGCCCCCTCCGGCCGGCCCTGCACTTGCCCCCTCCGCCGGCCCGGCGGTTCCGGGGGTGAGGGGGAGGGGTCCATTCGATTCAGCAGGTGGAGGGAAGGTGCTATAGAGGTAATTGCACATGTTTTATTTTTGTCAGTTCCCTATCTGGTTTTTAAGCTTTGTAGTGATAATTATAGATAAGTATGCTGGACCACAGTGACCCCAGATTTGATTGCAAACACATTCACCGTGGGGCCTCCTTTGGTAGGTTGATGATAGAGGGCCGCGGAAATAACGAGCTTAAAGTCACCATACTAGCACCTCATGCTGATCATAAGGAGAATACCAGTCCATAACGCTATTAAATTTGGAGAGGAGGCAGTATATCTACCACGCCAAAGGGTCGGCGGTGGGCGGGGACTGACACGGGGTTCCCCGAGTGGAGCCGGCCCGGTGGTGGCGGGTGCAAGGAGTGCCAATGGGTTATATCTGATAAGTGAGTGGTTTTTTTGACGTAGAGGTCCAAGTATCTTACAATTGGCGCCTAAGTGGTAGGAGC